TCTGAGTACCCCACACTACAGCTGGACTGAGAAACATCCTGCTAGAGACGTGCGCCGGATGGAGCAGCCTGCTGAGTACAGGCCGCTGCACTCGGAAATTTGGACTGGCCGATTCAAATTTAGGAACACAAATCCAGAAATTAAAAGGTTGCTATCCCACTAAGAGCCAACAGTGTTGCCTTTTTTTTTTTTTTTTTCCTTTTTTTGTTTGCTTTTTTCCCCTCCAAAGATCTTGCCTAGAATGCTGGCTAATGCCCATCCCCAGAAATGCTGTTTTACACCAGGGCAAGTTGCCTGCGCTGTAGGTCAGGGCCAGACGGCGTAAGCTGCTAACACAGAGTGAGGGATGATGGATCGCCTCTCATGCTCCTCACCTTAAAGACAGGGTCTCAAAAGGGCCAGCAGGGTAGTGGTTCCTATTGCTCTTGGTGAGATGTCAGTTGGGCTGAAGCCTTCTGAAAATCTGGCCACAAAATTTGGCCCATGTGGTGTCTTTTTGTTCAGCAATTTCACAGCACCTACCTCAAAAGGATCTTGGTCCATGACTTGGCCCTATGGGTGCTACAGTAATATAAGCAGTAAATAATCATGGAAAGTGCTGAGATGCTGTTTAATCATGTGGCCTTGGTGTTTTACAGTAATGCTAAAATACCAGTATAATGGGGAGGACGGATGTGTAACTTCAGGTGGTGTAAATGGGATGGACTCCACTGACATCAGTGGAGTGACCACGATTTACACCAGCTGAGGATCTAGGCTAGCTATATGTTGAACAGATTTTAGATGTTATTTGCTGTTAGCTTTGATGCTGATTTTTGCCCTAAAATGGGAACCTTTTTTTTTAACATAATGATGACCTCATTCTTACTTGTGAACTGATGTTCAGACAAAGATCTCTGATTTTTAATGGAACAGGAAAATACATTTATGGGCTCAAATACATTTATTGGGCTCAAGCCCAAGGCATGGGCTTGAGCACATAAATGCAGTTGCACAGCGAGCCACATGCATAACATGGCAGACAATATGTTCAAGAGAAAAAATGTTGAGATTAAAAGCTGTGAAGGATAAAAGACCACTTTCTTTGAACACGGCAGATATTATGGCTTTAAATCTGCAGCTTGAAAAGAAGACTGAGACTTTTTTTCATTAACACTGTTGTTCCTACAAACATCCTTGTATGTTGTCACTCACTGAATCCTCTGGTCAGAGATACAATTTGAAAAACAAAAAATAAAATATAAGAAAACCAAAGCAAAAATAGAATTTGACTGAGTGCTGATGAGCAAGTAACAGTGAAGGTGTAACACCAACAATTTCTCCATAGAAAACTAATGTAAATAGGTAGGTGGACGTTGTATAACTAGGACACTGTCACTGGCTCGTAGTGGTTATTAGCTCAGGTTCAACACTGCTCTCCGGGATGAGGATTTGAAATTTCAGTGCAACGGAGAGATTTCTTATCCTTGACTTTCACAGGGTGGTTCCTAGGACCCTATCCACACCGGAGCATCAAACCATGCTAGCTACAAACACAGTTACACCACAGAATATTTATCTAGAAACAGCCTTTACTACCAAAGAAATTACAAAGCGCTAGCATGGACAGGGTACCTCTGTAGGAAGGGGAATTAAGCAAGAAAGAGGCTCTTTCACTGGTTGATGGTCAGACCGTCAGACCAGTAGAGTGCCGTTTCACTGAGCCCTGTTAGCAAGCTCTCATTGAATCAATGCACGGAAGATGTTTTGTGGCAAGGAGAAATAAATAGGTTGTAATACTTCACATCTGCACAAAGCTAGCAAGATGTCGTTGTGATCATTCATGGGTGGACAAAAAGCTGTGATAATTTTGGTTCTGCTTAGACCCTACGGTGCTACACACTGTGCCAGAACATGAGAAATAGCACCAGGGGTGTGATCTGGCACTTTTCCTAAAGGGTCCAGCATTTGCATGTGTCTCATGTTTAGATGCTCGCAAGTCTTCTACATGGACAGAAAAGGAATCTGATTACGCTAAGCTGTGTTAGCACCAATATGGTCTCAGGCGCCAATTGCTGTGGGTTGTGAGTTTGGACGACTTTTTTTTTTTTCCCCACCAGATGTAATTTTGCATGAATCTTATGTTTCTCTTCCTCCTCCCACTACCACCCAGTATGATCTGAACAGCTGCAATGCAAAAAACGAACTGCAGCTCTGAGGATGCTGAAACATGAAACGCAAAACGTCAATGCACAAAACAAATGGGAGTACAAGTCCTAAGGGAAATAAGACCTCTCACTGCTTCTCTCGGTGATTTGTTTTAAATATATGTTTTATTTAAAAAAAAAAAAAAAAAAAAAAAGTGCAATGGCAACTCTAAACTGGAAGCACAAACAACAGACAGGGAAAAATAAATAATGTTACTACAGTAACCAAAGACTGATGGAAAAATTGATTGTACTCAGCCATAGTGTTACTGTTCACTGTAAAGCACAGCACATGACAAAGCAAAACAGTTACTAGCAGGATAGTACCATAAAAGGCTGCATGCTGAACTAAGAAACAAAGAAGCAGATGTGATTGATTGCTTAAAAACAGAGCTGAAAATTAGAATGAAGTTCCTGCTTTAGGATACTTGGTTTTTCAGGTCCGGTGGGCTATTTCCCAACCTGGGGCAATAGTACTTTGCCAGCATGGAAAAATCCATGGCTTCCAAAGATCTGGGGTCACTCTGTGGATTTCTGCAGAATTATCCAAAATCAAAGCTTTCATTCATTTATATTTTGTAAAAAAAAATGTTTCTAGCCCTTCTGGTTACAAAGCTCTTTTGGAGACTTAACTGAAACCCTTGTTTATAAATCTGCGCTGGCCAGGCAAGAAAAATAGTAGTAAAAGAAGTGTGAACTTCTCGAAGTTACCATAGTAGGGCAGTAAGTGAGGCCGCCTCAGGGCCACTAAAATGCCCGTATTTTTAACCCTGTCACTGCTGGTGGCTATAATACAAACATCCAGCTAGTCGTGCTCTCCGCGGAGGTTGGCTGGATATACCTGTCAGCTTGACAGGGTGTAGAAATGTAAGCTTCAAATAGACAAGTAACTGAGGAGTCTATTTAGCATTTGCCCTTAAAATGTCCTTAAACATTAGGGTTGCTGTAGCCACCAGCTAATAAGTATTGGACTCCTGCGGCGCAGCAGGCAGGAGAGTGTGGGTTTTATAGAAAACTTGGTCCAGCAGCAGCAAAGGCAATTCAGTTTACTGTCATAATATCTCCTGCAGTTGTCCCCTTGTGTGTCAGAGTGAAGAATGGCATCAGTATACAAAGGAAGGGCAATGTGAAATGAGAAAAAAATACCTCCCTCTCCCCTTCCATGCACCCCAACTGCAATTCCACAGACTTTCCCCAAATCCCTCACAAATGTCCATTGCCTTAGTTTTTGCTTTTAAGACCCTTGTTGACTGTGAAATGAATGAAGATACAAGTTAGTTGGTGACCTGCCTGCCTACAAAGAGAGGAAAGATCAAATGCTTTTGGTATTTCTTTTAAAGAAACAGGAAGAATCATAAGACATTTGGGGGTGAAGTGTGACTCCCTCCAAGAGAGAAATTATTAACTGCATTCAAGCACTGACATATTGCTTCTGAAAAATCATCCATTTCAATTTAAAGATGCATTATCCTTTTGTGTTCAGGAAAGGTCCTACAGGGCGGTCAGTTCAAGAGATCTTTCCACAGGAGTTCATCATGATTAAATAGAGGCAAGGGAGAGGATTAAATTGAGAAAAAAACAAGCTGACAACTAGAATTTAAGGAATTGTCTTGCTTGTCATTAATAATAGAGAATCCGTTACGGAAAAGGGATAATGCAACTTGATGGTCCTCTTTACATTTTACAGTCACACAAGGGTGTAAATATTTAATCTTTCAATTAATCAATCTTTACAAAATATCTCACAAAAACATTTTTACCTATAGAAATTAGTTTCTATACATCAATATATTTTTATTTTTATAAATTATTCCATCTTTAAGTGCCTTCTATCAATATAAATGATAAAATAGACAATCAAAAATTTTAAAGCTTTTCCCAGTTGTATCCCTCCTTGTCAACATAGGTGCTGTGAATCCTCATACGTGTGTGTGTCCGCATCGGAATGTGTTTGTGTGCACGTGTGTGTGATGTGAAATGCTTCCATCCTCTCCCACCCCCAAACTCCATTAAAATAAACTATATTGTTATTAGTTCCTGATGCAATAGTGTTTCTAAAGGGGAGAAAAGAAATGCTTGACTTGGTTTCAGAAATCAAAAGATGTGCATAGTTACCAAAGTCGAGGTGTACCAACTACAAATGTGCAATGACAAGCTTAGAATAGGATCCACCTCCCAGTCAAGTCAAAGAGTGTCCTACCAATGACTTCAGTAGGAAGTGGACCAAATACTCTGAGCTTGATTTTGCAAGGTGCATGTGGCCCTGATGTAGCAAAACAGTTAAGCCCGTGCTTAGCTTTGAGCACATGAATAGTCCTACTGGAATTGATGGACTGAACGGCATAGGGAAGGATCACAAGTGACTCCAAGTCAACGGGCTACTCGTGTAGCAATTGGGGTCAAGTGCTGAGCGCCTTGCAGGATCAAGCCCTATATGAGGTTCAAGAGCTGGGAACTTCTCTTTAAAGCAATCAACACACTGAGCTCAGCCATTGAAATTGAACAAAATGTCCGCATGGGCACAGGAGGTGGCTAGCTCCCCTTGACAGAGGGTCTCCATGTCAAAAGTTTATACGTACAACTGGTGCTCTGAGCACACAACAGATTTGCTTTATATGGTAGAAGTCTTTTTGTTCCTAACCTTTGACCCATCAGTGTCCTTCATGGCTTCAAACACTTTGTGTTGTACATTCATCAAAATTCACATTGACTGCAAAGAACATAAATGCAACAAAAACAGGAAAGCCTCCAAATAGTATATTATAGTTTTCTTCTAAATATTCTCCCGTCATAATCAGAGGTGCAGTGGCTAATTTATAATTTTTCCTTTGAAGGAATCCAGATGAAAGGCCCAGATTGTTCTTCAATTACAAGTTTGCATTGATTATATATATCTTCTAAGCTATCTCCTTGGACAATAGCTGCAGTAAGAAAACATATCAATATTTATTTTAATTGTTGTATTCTACAGCATCCAGTGTCAGATATTGATGAAATGAGAAGGAACACTAGCACACTCTGATGTTATTGATTATGGAAAAGTCATACCCCTGCAGATGGCAACTAAGTTCAAACCAATGGCACCTTCCCACGACAGAGAGCCATCCCACTGCTTGTAGTGAGACGACTGAGCTAGGTTAGTTTAGAGAATAGCAGCTCTGTCCCATGGGAAGGCAGCATGGTAGGTTCCCACTGTTGCAAGTCAAGCTTTACATTTCATTTGATTTAGAAGCTACTTCAGCAGTGAGTAGCAGCAGATTTACAGCCTATTCTTTTCCTGACTTAGTTATAATAAACTCACTCTTGGCTGCAAAAGTTAACTAGATCAGGCCCAAAGTGACAGAAGGTAAAGCAACTATAATGCAAAGCACAGTGTCTATACTCTTAAATTCCTTGCCCCCCCAGCAAAAATCTGGAACTGCAGTTCAGATTATGTGCACTGTCAGCATGTGGAGGGACAACTCGAGGCTTCTGAGTGTTATCCACAAATACCAGTCCCCTGAGCAGGGAGCTGCCTAAACCCGTCCAAAGGAAATGCTGGGGCCCAGAGCAGGTCTTAGGTCTTGCTTCTTTTCCAGGTCAGGAAGAAGATGCCTTTCTCTTTCCCTCCCATGATCCGTAGCTTGAGCTCTTGCCTTGAGCTAGTGAGGAATTCTTTGGTCTGTACAAATGCAGTGATGCAACATTTGTACTGATTTCGTTAAAAGCAGTTTTGGGTCAGAGAGGGAATCAAATTAATGCAAAACTATTCCTTCAGGGCATCAAACTTCTGAGGAGTTGAATGTCTCAACTGCCCTTGAGTTTCAGGGAAACAATAGTCCCAAGCCAGGAGTCCTTACTGTGGGCACACTATACTGATATGTACTCTAGGCCAGAGACTGAGCTGATCCAGCTGTTTTGCAATAAAAGACTATACCTTCGGAAAAAATTATTTTTTAATAAAAACATACCTGTAAAATATTCTCCAAATTCTTGTTCTAATTTAATTGCTCGATCGTAGGTTTTCTTCGCTTGCTCCTCTGTAAGACGTTTATTCATTTCCCTAGAAACACAGAGGAGGTCATCAAAAAGTTTCGATTCTTACTAGAACAGCTTTCTAAAAGAGAATCACGGCTGGATTGAGATCGGTACAAGAATCAAGCAGTGATTGATCCATCAGTTCATGGGCAGTTTCAGTATTTTAAATTTAATTTCATTCTTATGTAGTATATAAACCTACATTTCCAGACTGTCTCCCATTTCTCCACTAAATTTTTATTTTGGCTTCACTGCTTTACATTCCCAAACAAAATAGGAGGCCCAAATCTGGTAACTGCTAACTGAGGTGGACTTGTGGCATCAGGAACCCATGCGTAAGTCTGGGAGCCAGGAGTTCTCAAGGTCTGAGCACTCAGAGCACTCCTGCCTCCAGAGCTGAAGCTCCTTCAGGAACCTCTCTATCTCCCAGGCCCACAGCTGGCTGTCTCAGCTGAATAAGGTTGCCCAAACTGCTGAAATGGAAGCTGGGCTTTGACCGAGGCTGGGGCTATGGAAGTGAAATCACGATTAAAGGCAGGATTCAGTCACTGAGACTCCTGAGCCTGTAGAAGGAATCCCAGAGTCATTGTAAACCCTGTAGGGAAGCCCCGGAAGGACCCAGCATATCTTCCAGGGAGACTTCTGGGTTCAGGTGGGGGCATGAGTTCCAGATATCGTGAGAAATCAAACTGAGTCTTTCCAGCAGGAAGAGTTAAGTTATTTATTTATGTTCTCTGTTCCAGTCCTTTCTGATTAACTAGAGAGATTCCCAGTCAAGTGTGTCTTGCAGATTCTAAAACATACAGGGTACCAATAACTGTAAAAACATAGACAGTGTCAGTAACATTCTGTTATTGCCAACATTTTGTTATTTGATGGAGCATTTCTGTTTCAACAGAGGCGTTATTCAGTAACTTTAAGAAATGAGTTGTCTTGCCCATGCATGCTCAGCTTTTAATACCACTGTATACTTGCAAAGAATCAAGCTCACACTCATTCACTGCCTTACACGTATATGCCTGCAGATATCCAAATTAATTAGCAATAATAAATAGAGTTTGCTTATTCTAGCATTTTTTCATAGCATGGATTCATTTTTCTTAAAATGTGATGGAAGTTTTCTGAGGCAACTAGGAAAACAAGAGAAGGGAGCATCTTGTGTTCTACATAAATCTGATTTAATGCCTCGCACTGAATCATATGATTATGTGGTAATGGCCTGTATACAGTGTGACATGGGTGATGCATGTAGGAAATTATGTGCATGATGGTGCATAAAAAAATGATCTACGACGTGCACAACAGTATGAACTTGCTACAGCTAACTCCTACCTGGCTTCTGAAAAACACCCTGTAGGATGTCCAGGATGCAAAAAGGTATTTCTAGAAATGACTTAAAGCTGTCTATCTATATAACTAACCATATAGCTGGGAACACTGCTTAAAAAAATCTCTCTGGAAGTACCAATGCAATGCAGAAAGCAGGTTTATAAAATGAAGGATAAGAAAGATGTCTTTAAAAATTTCTGACAGTTATTTGCGGATTATATAAATAGGTTTAATATATGCCAATCTGTGTCATGCTGCTAAATTTGTAATACTACTAATTCTATTTATTGGAAAATTGCTATCTAATTGAGTTCAAGTGGGCTTCTCATTAGCTGCGCCTACTTGAACATATCTTTAGGTGACTGAACCAAAACTCTGTCTTGAAGTGGGACATACCATTGCAAATTCTTATGCAAACTTAACATTTTCATCTTAAGGACAGTCAGCCAATATTCTAGTGCTACCAACATCCTCCTCCTTCCAGATCTATTTCTGGTAAATTTCTGAGAAGTTTTCCTCAAGATCTTTGAATATTAGAGGAGAAAATACAAATAAAAATATAAACAAGCATTTAAAATAGTAAGTACTTTGAAATAAGTAGAAATTTGCGTTACATTTTCAGGTTGTAGATTTGCCTGGTGTATAAAACTGTGCGAGTTGTATTCATGCCTCTGCCCACCCTGTGCCTTCAGGAGGGAGGACGGAGAAGGGGGAGGACCACGATGGCCATTTCTCATGATGAATTAAAAGTGCTGTCAAACCATAGTCCCTTCTATTTTTTTATTTCCTAGCCAGGGACCTGCACAGCTGGTGAATTCAAAATGCTTGCAAAGAGCTGTCCCTCCAGGCACATTTTCCAGGGTTTTCCTCCTCTCCCAGTGAAGAGCTCACCCAGGCAGGCTCTTCATTACTTCCAGCTCTCATCCCCATGATCCCACCACTGTCCTCCTTCTTCTAGGGACAGAGGCCGATTGAGAGGTACCAACAGGGATGCCTCTGGGATTAAACCTGTGAGGCGGAAGGAAGGAAGGAAGGAAGGAAGGAAGGAAGGAGGCAGGTTTTTTTTACAGCAATTTGATTGCCAGGACTGAATTTAATTGAAGAAAGCAGGATCAGGAGACATCCAGCTCAGGCCATGTGTTCTGGCTGCTTTTACATCCAATAGCCCACATGGTCCTCCATTGCTGTGGTCATTAGTGTTAGCAGGGTATTTCCAGAGAACCAGCGATAACCAAGTTTCAAGTGCAGGTGCAAGCTTAATTTATGCTCCCTGCACTCCTCTTACCTTCACTGTCAGATGGGTGCAAAGGAACGAATGCATAAATGAGAGTTAGACTTCAACTTTAAGTACTAATTTTGCTGCAAGTTAAATCTTATGACTTTGTTTTTCTGCATCTTCTGATTAGCAATTTTTTGTCTTTTATGCTTTTACTTTGCTATTACACTAACTTTCAACTCATTTGTATGAACAGGAGTAATAATTATGGCAGATAAACCTATAATTTTTGTGTTGTAGTAGTTACATACATAAAAAAGACTGAGTGAACACAGTTACGCTGTCATAAAAATGTCCTCTTTCTGTTCCCACAGAGCACTGGTTTGTTAAACTTCTCCATACTAAAATAATAGTATCTATTGGAAAGGTGTTATATGACTCCATGTATGCACACCCTACAACCCCTACAACCCCCTGCCACTTACATCAGAGTATGTATTTGTTTAGCCAGACCCTGAGTGATTTAGCTTCATTACAAAATAAAATAAATGATTTTTGCAAGCAAGGGTCTCAGAATTATGTCATTATTCTTAAGACAATTCTTTAAAAAGAATGATACTGTTTATATTAAAAGAGTTCTCATTTCTGTTAGAAACTAATTTTGGGTACTGTTTGATAAGATAAATACACATTAGATAGATAGATTAACTAGATAAAAAGATTACTTGTGGAGAGCAGGCTGCAGGGGATAAACTAATTTAGAATGCCTGAATTCATTACATTTTCCTGTTTTTTTCGGGAGTTGTATTGTCTTTACATAGTTTATTTATATAAGCCATATTACTGCAAAAGATCCCAAACTCGTACTGATATATAAGGACTTTTGCTGTCCCACGGAAGTTTGGATTTCTAATTAAGGTTGTCTTCCACAGGGTACTTGCAGAACAAGGAATTCAAAGTCATATAATGGATTTCAGTTTGTTTGTCCCTACCATACTGTCAACGCTGAGTCAGGTTTATATTTGGAGAGTGAAGAATAGCTTAATTTTGATTTACATTGGTAAGGAAAATTCTGCTAACTCTGCATAACTTGTTTTGTCCTAAGTGAAATATTAGCATTGCTTTGGTTTAATAACAGGATGATTGTCATAATATTTGGCATCTTCATAACACTTTTCAGTCAATCTGTTCAAGGATTTGCTGTTACATCAAATCAATGAAGCCTTTATGTTATTGCCACATTTCTGGTTCTGCCTAGTGTATTTTTCAGAGTAAGGGCCACCTTTATTTAATTTTTTTTTTTTATCACTCCAGATACAATGTCAGCATTAAACAAATAATGGAAATATTTTATGGATGGGAAAACTGTAGGTTAAGATCTATCTTAAAACAATCAACGCAGAAGGTAGGCTATCAGTCTACCCTTCCCCTTCTATACAGCAACATAATCAGAATATAATTGAATTGTAGGGCTAGACGAAATGTCAAGAAGTCATCCAGCCCAAGATGGCTTTGGTCAGGATGGGGCTGTGCAAGTACCACATACTGTGCACCATCCCCTGTAATGTGGCTGGACGTGCAACAACCTTATCACCAAAAGGCAGGGCCAGGGAGGATGCACATTCATGGGATGGGGCATGTTAGCATTCTCCAGCTCTGCCACCAGATGGTTGTGGGCACACCGTTACCGTAACCAGATACGCATCTGTCGCAGGAGGGGGGATGCCTACATTTTAGCTGTGTAAGAGATACCTATGGCATCATCTGGCATTTGCAGAGCCTTTGCTGAGGGGAAGGCACAGAGTTCAAAATTTCATCCCTATCACAGCAAATTAAGCTTATAACCCTTGCATTACCATAAGGGTACATGGAAAACAATTGATCGCAATGTATTTTATCCTGAGCTTTAGCCAATATGAAGATTACTTCCATATTTCCTCCTCAGCCTTCTCTCCTTGACACTAGGTAACCTCCGTTCCTCCTCCACTTCCAGGGTGGAACCCAGAACCAGGCCAGCGCTCCAGCTGAGGCCTCATCCATACCCAATAAAACAAAATAACTGTCTGTTGTGTCCTTATACAACACTGATGTTAATACAGCCCACAGTGGCAGTTTCCTTTTTTGCAACCACATTATCCATCCATCCATTCATATTCCTGTGTGATCCATCCCAACCGCCAGATGCTTTTCTGCAGTGCTATAGCTTAATTATTCCCTGCTTGTGCTCGTGCATTTCATTTTCTCTCATTTGCCTGTGCTGAATTTCATCTTACTGATTTTACATTGAGTTTTAATCTTATCCTCCAAAGCGCTTGCCACCTTGTTCAGCCTTGAATTATTCACAAACTTTACAAACTTGCCCAATTCATCATTCAAGTAATTCATGAAAATAACAAGTAGTCTCAAACAGGGACACAGCTCAGGAAATATACTTGCAGGATTTTTGTTACCCTCCCAGTTTAACAGTGCCACTTTCAATGACTGAGTATGGCTGTGCACACACTCTCTAGTGATTCCCTCTGGACTCTATTTCCCTAAGCTGCTACTGAGAATGTCCCATGGAGCCAGAACAAAAATCAAGGTGCAATACAATTATTGATATCCATCTCATGAAAGAAGGAAGTAAGATTGATTTGATTTGCTCTTGATACACATACATTGGCTGCCTCTTAGAACCTTTTTGTCCTCTGTTATTATATCTGAGTTGCTTAACTGTTCCCTGGATCCCAGTGTTTTTCTGAGTATTGAAATTAGGTTGCCTGGTGACAGCTTGAAGTTGGTGCCTTCTCTTTCCTTCTTTAAGTGTTATGTTTGCCCCTCTCCAGTCCCATGGGTCCTTGCCTATCCTCTTACAGACCTTCAAGTAAATGACGGGCTGACAAAGAGGCACACACCGCAAATCTGACACAGGTTTACCATCTGGTCGGTCCCCTGTGACCAGACTCTACACCCCAGGAGCACCCAAGGCTGGATGGGACAAGCCATGCTGCATGAGTCCTTGGTGAACTTGCTGCAAAGGTTGCAACAAGTACACCGAGCACAGGCAGGGAGTCCTTCATGGTCCAGCACGTAAGCCCATATGTCCCAGAGTGAAAGGTTCAAAGGCAGCTTTGGCTTCCTCCTTGAGATGCCGGGATACAGTGGATGGCAGGCAGGGAGAGCTAGTCTCCACTGTTCCCACTTCATCTCGTTATTACTGATTTTAGAGGACAGGCAAAATGTAGACTCAAGACCTGTGTTGTGCCACTTGAGACTGTACCCTGAAAATAAAATGCTTGAAGGAGTTTATACTTACATCAGAGGCTCCCATGATTTAGGCTTAATGAAGATAGCGATGGGATAGAGTTGTGCAACTTGTAGTCGTTTGATAGCATTTCCTGACACATCAAGTATACAGTGCTTGCCCTGTTGGAAACAGATGAGGATGTGTTTATTTTTACAGAGTTTGCTGCAGATCAGCCAAAAGACAGGAAGCAATTCTGCGATGCAGTGCCCTGGAACGGGGCCATTACTGGCACACCAGGGAAGTGGGACCCCAGGGCATGCACTCCACTCCTCTGTGCTCTTTCCTTTGCTTTGATGCTAATATAAAATATACACTGGAGATATTGGAACAAGCTCGTTTTTTATTTTTACTGGGATGAACTTTGTGGGGGGGAGAGGATTTTCTTCAGAGATGAGAAAAATCAGTTCAGAAAAGTAATAGGATGTCTACGTTCTTACTGGTGAATTCAGTTCTTGTTTGTGTCAAAGACTCCCTGTGTCACCCGAGGCAAGTAATTTAATCATTCTGTGCTTCGTTCTTTTGCCTCTATGAAAGTGAGATAAGTTTATTTACCTGACTTACAGAGGGAAAAGGGAAGGCTGTTTTGAGGTGTACTTGAGGTGCTGTGTTAGATCCCTGAATCGATCGCACTACCTCCAGGTACAGAAAGCACCAAGGGTGTTGTAATTCAAAGTCAGAGACTCCACTTGTGGAGTCATTATAAAGCCTATAACCTCCAGGTAGAAAGCACCAAGGGTGTTGTAATTCAAAGTCAGAGACTCCACTTGTGGAGTCATTATAAAGCCTATAAATATTAGGATGCCGTTTTGCAGATATTTTATATTTTTGGCAGAAGAATCATGTCTGAGATACAATGTGGAAACAAAAGAGATCATGTTGCATGGTCAATAAAACTAGTGTCAACCTACCCTTTCTGCCACGAATCTCACAGACTGGACACTAGTTCCATATAAATTATCATTGTACTGCCCAGCTTCTATAAATTTGTGCTCTTGGATATCTTTTTCCATTTGTTCTCTTGAAATGACAAAATGATAATCTCTCCCATCCACTTCATAGTCACGCTTTGGCCGTGTGGTATCTGCATGAAACAAAAGACAGAAGACCAAGAAGTCTGTAAAAATATTTCATGTAAAAAATGCTGCAATTAAGGTTTGCTCAGCGGACAATGCTGGGTCTACTGTAAGTGGAAGTGCTTCACATCTCGGAGCAGATCTTTGGCTGCTACATGTTGTTTTCAATGGAGTTATGACAATAAAACTGTCTTTTTGTAGTAATACCTTCTGACGTTTACCTCCAATCAATACAGACTAACATAAAATTAGGGTTTACCAGAATTCCACTTTTTTTCAGCAGGATCACACACAAACCTCACATACAAAATGCATTTCAGATTGTAAATCTAAGCCTATTACAGTGATAAAATGAATTGCAATCTCATCAATTTAATTTAGCCTTAATTATAACCCTGATTCTGATCTCATCTCTAGCAGTTTTAAGCTGGTGTATCTGCAGAGACAACAGTTTAAAATGAAGTTAGACTGCAATCAGGGCCTGAAATAAACTCAGTGAGCTCTAATGATCCAAGATATAAACACTCTGCTTAATTCAGTGTCCAATATTGCTTTCAGATTAGACAGTCTAGCTCTCACACAAATCACAGATTACTCCTTATTTTTATTGGTGGATGCTGTGTAACTGAGTTGAAACATTTTACATTTTACCAGTATTTCAAACTTTTATCTTATTTAAGAAACCACAGATTAACTGATGAGTAAACTGAGTTAGGGGTTAAAAGGCTCCTTGTTTAAAAAAATGTAACAGCTTTTGAGACAATTCTTTTGAGAAATTCTTTCCAGACCTTCACAATCTTTTTTTGTTTGTTCCTTTCCCCTTTTTTGTCCAATGGAAAAATGGCTTTTGAGAAACTCAACTACATATAGTTCATGGATGCTGCTTTCACAGCAATTTACTTCGTGTGTGGCACCAAGGGACACAACTCACCCAGCTGCAGAACGAGGAGTAAAATCATACTTACGTGGTACACATGACCCAAACTTATCAGGGAATTCAGATATCAAGTCATCGTTGATCCGATCTTTCATAGGACCCAGAATAATAACCGGCCTGGTGTAATTAACTGAACAACAAAAAGAAGGGTACATTTTGATGATCTTACTGATAATAACAGTAAATCTTCCGAAAGATGCACTAAACAGAGTTGTTGCCTTTATGTATGAAGTGAAAAATTAGGTGTACATTTTATTGAGGAATACTTTATTTATTGACATGAATAAGGAAAATGGAACGAGTACCACTCATTTTGCAGAGCCCTGTGATGGTGCATGCACGTGTAGTCAAACGACTATGTGGAAGTATATATATTTGCTATTGCTCAACAAGGTCACTCCCAAATGCTTGCAGATGGACTCTCTCATGGGGCATGGAAAGGAGATTGTAGGATTTTTTCTCCTCAGTTATATGAGTGCATCCCCCATTAAACCAGGGGGGTGCCCTCCCATTTTTGGTTTGCCTTCCCATAGGTTCATCTACCCTGCTTAGAGGCACATATGACACGAGAAGAAAAATAATAAAGGCTTCCCATGTAACAATATTGCAGTAAATCTAGAAAATCTGCATCAATATTTTGTAGACTGATTAACGTATTTATCAGTAAAGGCCATGAGAGCATACTGAGGAGAGTCCTGAGAATGTTAGGAAGCGGGGGCTAGCGAGGGAGACCCTTACATCATTTCTTTTGTATGCGATAGACCGAGTGGCCAAGAAAAAGAGCCACAGAGAATCTGGGGCTGGCACAGCAAGGCTTACTGCTCTGCTGGCCCCCAAAATGTGAAGTGAAAAATATAAGGAACAGTGACAGAAGAGCAGATGAAACTTACTTTCCTGTCTTGTGACAGGTTCATAAGAAAGGATGCAGTCTTCTTGGCCTCCTGATGAGAGAAGAAAGATAAGAGATTGAAGCTGACAAGCAACACATCAAGTACTAAAGCTTGATAAAATGCTTCACATAGAGACAGATTGGGTTCGACACTTCTCTCTGGTAATGCTCTCACCTGAACCATTCCAAAGTCCCTCATAACTTCAAAGTGCGGAGATCACTTTTTTCCTTCCCTTCCCTCCCCTGCCACTTGTTTCAATTATCTTTGCTGAAATTGGGCTTTTTCAATGATGGGCAATAAGGCTTCATTTATTGATTTGGTTGCAAGGCTGTTTACAAGGATAGTGCAGAAATTTAAGATGCAATTCTTTTGATTGTCTGATTGTTAAAGCCCTAACATGCTGCTGCAGGGCAGACCCACAGGCTACCTAAACTGAACAATTTTTATTCTCAGCATATATGAGTTTTGGTTGATCGTCCTTCTGTGCATAACCTCCTTAGTCTAGTTTATTCACAGCCTGACATCTAGCTATGAGCTATTTGATGACCCTTATCCTTTCCCTGAACACAAATCTCACAGCATCATATTTTACGCACTTATCCTCCCTCCACTCCTGTTAGGACAGTGCTGTTTCCTCATTTAGGAAACAGCGCTTAGGACATTTAGGGAACTAAAGCAGAGAAATTTGCCATGAGAAACAAATGGCACTAGATGGACCATGACTTGCATGCAGGTGTACAGCCCCGATGCATCACTGTCCTCTCCTCTACGAGAGTGCAAGAGGAGAGGGGGGAGGATTCTTCAACCTACTGCATGAATAAGTCCTAGACATTTCTCTTTCTGGGTCACTGTCACATACTTGGTACCACATAAGGGCTCTGGCAGGTTCTGAATATGACTTAGGCTTAACAAAATTTAAAATTATGATTTTATTTTTACTCAGTTCAGGGCTTATCTCTGAGAAGATCCACAGATGGGATTTTGCAACTAATTTAGATACTACAGAAGAAAGAGTGTCATAAGGGGTACCAGGGCTTTATAAAATAGACAGGGTTGCCTTCATTTCATCTGCTAGCATGCACATGAGTCTGTGTTACATTATTCTGGTGGGTTCCTGCCAAACTAAAGTGTGCACATACAGGGGAAGAGTGCTGCCTGACACCGGGTGGACGATACAGGTAGGATTTAGAGGGGCCTAGACCTCACCCTGAAGTAGTCTGACTGCTATCTGAGTCACTCTTGAGGCTCCATTAACTATATTAACAAGATTTGTATTGGATGCAACGCCTAGCTCCCAAGAAGGTACAAAACTTTTTATGGTTTAGTCTTAAGCTGAATCCCACCCCATGAATCTAATATATTGATAGATATTTTTTGTGATATATTATATAGACAGCTGTGGGAAATGTGTAAGAAAGCTTTTCAAGTAAAAGTAATGCTGTAATTAAGAAAAACAACAGAAAAAGCAAATAAAAAAAATGTACTGATGTGTTAGGAGAGAGGGAGAAACAGACAGGGCCAACTCCAACCTAGCAATGGTGCTGAAGCAGCAAAGGCAAAAACATAATTTTTAATAAAAGGAAAAGATTAGAGAGCTTTTGAGGGCAAAGCAACATAACATATGAGGAGTGTGGATAATGGACTTTCTTCTCTATTTGCAAATGTTTGATACTGTAATCACTTGCTTAACTTTGGCTTTTTGCAAAGTTAAAAACCTAGAATTATTGTTACACTAGGTTTCATACATCAGATGTATTATTCTCCCTTAAGTTTCTCTGGGAATTTTAGGGGTGATATAAAACTCAGGATGTCCCATTCCCCTGGAGACAAAATGATTCACTCTCCAGGCTGGATGAAGATGCTCCTGCACTGCCTGCCCTCCAGCCCCAGGAGCCAAGGCTATGCTTTTCAACAGCCTGAGAAAGTCAGTCTTGGGGTGGGCGATGAAGCCATCATGTACTAAGCATGTGGAGGGAAGACTGTTTGTACGAATACAATCTTATACTTGAAAATACTTGTTTCAATGGCATACAGATCCACAGAAGGGGATTAATTTCAGCTAATTTCAGAAACCTGTAGCGTCTAAGCTAGTCCCTAGGTACCCTTTGGAGGCGATGGGTGCCTACAAATAGGCAAGTGCTTATTCTAAGACATGAGTCATCTGACCTATTTTAGATGTCTACTTTGGGATGAGAGAAAAATTCAGAAGGGTGTATTTGTCTCCATTGTCCCATAACAGCATTTAAACAGCAAGGTCAGATGCAGACATCTGCATTTAAACAGTAGAATCCCATGGGAGTGACAGTGACAAGAGCAAATGAAGGAAAATAGCCAGTAACTCTGACACTGTTGTTTAAATTTTTTTCTGTGGGCTAATATTTGGCTTTGGCACAGAATTACAACCAGCACAGAGAAGCCAGCACAGATTTTACCTTCTGTTTTGCCCAGTCTCTGGCAGACATGTCCACATGCTAAAGCTGTCGTTACATCCACGCTATCAGTAGGGTATGGGCTGTGGAGACAAATGAGCCTGTCGTTTCATGGAAGTCTTGTGAAACTGTAGCCAGGCTGAAGGCAAAGAAAAAACTCCAGCCCACTCAAATTGTGCTGAAGCTTAAGCCATTGGAAAGGGTTGCAGAAAGTAAGGAGAAACTTTGAGGCTGACTGTGATACACAGGGCCTTAAAGATAGATATATTCCTGAGTGAAGGCTCTTCAGCACTGAGTTTCAGACTCAACATGGAGTGCGAGCGTGGGGGGAAAGCTGCACCATTTCCACTATTTTATTTTCTGGAAAAAGGGCTTAGGAAGCTTAAGTTTCTGTGTGAATAAAATCCTTCCAAGTACTGTCCAGACAAAATCCTGTAAGTCCTCAGAGGCTAATATGCGTGTTAACTGTACCAGACGGTATTCTTTAATGATCTCTGCTCAGTCGGTACCGCATGGTTTTGAAGTAGTCCATAAAGTATTAAGTATAATGAAGAGCTCTAGAGTCAATCGATAATCGGATTGCTATAACCTTGTGATGGCTTTGAGGTGTGAGACACAGTGTGAAATTCAGCAGAACACAGGCTCTTATTTATCATTTGAATAAGCCTCATTTACCACCCACATTAATGGCTTAATTAGCACAGGTTAGCTATATTGATCTGGAACATCTTTGTGAAATTTAACAGACAAAACAAAAAAAGAAAAAAGAAAAAGTCCTTTCTGTAGGATGCTGGCATGATCCCTTGTTCTTCAGTAAAATCCCGCAAAGTCAAAAAGAGAAGAAAAGAAAGAAGATAAGGAAAGACAAGAAAGAAAAAGGAAGCTTTCCTAAATCTAATATTCTTATGAGTAAAATTATTGGAGGGCTTTCACTTTCCCAGAATCACTATGGCTCTGCTTCCCTTTGTTCTTGGTATGCCTGTTGGTGAGTTCTCGTGCTCAGGAAGAGAGAATAACCTCGCAGCCTCTATAAACTGGGCTGAGAGGTTTTGTGTGGTCAGATGACTTTCATAAGGACTACTAATTTCAACTTTTTAAAAGATTTTATGGTGTTCAGAGGAGTAGCCCTAAAATGGATTTAAGGTGTTGCCTCTGTTTTCCCTTTCTGGTTAGATGGCAGAGGGTCTGTGAAAGACTCAAAGTCACAGTTTCAGCATAGACCTGGCAGATGTCAGGCGTTTTTCATGTAACCCATAAAAAGGCCCCATTTCCTACTGTCTTTCCAGAGCATCCAGAGCTTCCACAAGGCTGGTGTAACTGCACCCAGCACGTGAGTAATGGGGCAGGAGAGCTGCTGTAAGCTGCTGTGGTGCAGCCACCATGTGACCAAACGCCCACCTTTGTCAAGCACCTTATGCTGTGCGTATCCATGGATTTTGGCATCCTATTAATGGCTGTGAATGAAAAAAATCTGTAAAGGCATCTATGGCAGTGAATAATAAAAAAGCAGTACTTATGAAGACAGCTAAAAATTATTTATGACTTTAGAAAAATCAAAGGGAATTTTTGTGTTCATTAAAATTGCTGGACTAATGGTGGTGGTTACCATCAATACACATGTGAAATACATGTAGATGAGACAAATTAATTTTATTTTTGAGCGCTTGCCTGAATTTTGTTGCTCAGCTGGATCTAAAATCAAAGAAGGCTTATTTTTCTGTCACCATCCATTTTGGTTTTGGGCTAACGTATGGATTACCTGAGTTGGACTTGCAAGATCTTGGAGAAATCAATTTCTTGTTTTGTTTCATCTGCACAGACTGCACTGGACAGCCAATATCCTAACCTCCACTTGGGTCGGAATCCCTTTCCTGGACCTCTATTTGTGTAAGTAAACACATGACTTTTGGAAATATATTGATGGCTATGAAAGGCTGGAAATCCAATACGTAAAAAGATCATCAGTAGTCTGAGAATGAACTTATGACTGAAAAGTGCTCTATCGGCACTTTATGTTTAAGATCAATATAGCTTGTGAGGGCAGAAAATGAGACTTCAATACTTGTGCCAGTTTGAGTGTGCCTGAATAACATAGTAATCCTTGGGGAGTGTAAGGGCCAATGTAAGTGTACTAATTAATCAGTGGCCTAACACAATAATCAGGACTCCTTTAACCGTGTTCTGAGTCTTCAAATCTCATTACAAGAGTGACTTGTTCAAAGATGGTAAAAATTTTTGTTTCTAACAATTTTCCTTATTTTTAACTTTTAGTCATGTATTACCTCTCTAGGTAATCGGTGCAATCACAACCAGTTATGCAATTAGGCTAAATAGATGTGGTAATGTGTGTGTAATTTTGATGACAGCTGTAAAAACCTTTACTGAACTACACGTAAGTTAGTTAGAGACCACTTGTTGACAGATGGTAAAAATTTTTGTTTCTAACAATTTTCCTTATTTTTAACTTTTAGTCATGTATTACCTCTCTAGGTAATCGGTGCAATCACAACCAGTTATGCAATTAGGCTAAATAGATGTGGTAATGTGTGTGTAATTTTGATGACAGCTGTAAAAACCTTTACTGAACTACACGTAAGTTAGTTAGAGACCATTACCACACATATGCAGTAGAGAGACTTGAAATTCATGGCCATTATGAAAATCATGTCTTGCAAAATAAAAACTGATGAGTCCACGGTAAAAAATATGTTCTTACAAGCTTGGTTTGAAAAAGAAACCAGAACATTTTAAGTCACAGAGCTCAAAATAAACTTTCAGTCATGGTTTGATTAGCTGGTTCAGGGATAAGTCAAAGTTGGCTGTATGTATCCTTATCGCAACAAGAACACAACTTTCTGCTAGACCAGGACTTTATATACCACTCTTCAAACTTGGTTTTACTGCTGAGAACAGGTGCAAATAACTAACATGGCTATAGCCTTCATATTAGCATGGCCAATATGACGCGGTAGCAGCTGTGTGGCGGCTCAGCCCCTTTTAGATCAGGCCAACATTTGTTCCTGGCTCAAAAATACTTCTTAATTTTTTATAAAGGGCCAGATTCTGCTGTCAAATGTATTTGTGGTTCCCCCTGAAGTTAATGGAGCTGAAGGTTATTTGTTGGGATGAAGAAAATCCCACTGTTGGCTCCAGCACTTTTGCTCATTACAAACCCAGTGTTGAGAGCACTGGCAGAAGAAATCAGGTTTACTACCTGCAACAGCCTTGTTGCTAAGAAGTGGTCAAAGAATTTTCTCTTGAGACCACATAGGAGGACTTTCAATTTTATTATTATTCTGAAATAGAAAGTATCTGACTTCTGTAAAAAAGTTGATTTTTTAACCCCCGAGCCCGACACGAGCAATACTTCGGCCAGATACTCAAATTTTTAAGCAATATATTTTTCTAAATAAATATGGATGTATCAGAATATCTTCTAGAAAAAACTCAGTCAATTTGTAACCCCTCTGTTAATCACTGTTCAGGGCACAGCCTGGACAGCACTCAGAAACCTTCAACATCACTTTGGGTAGTTGTACCCCTGATTTGGAATGGTTCTAGGAATGATCAAGTAGTACAGGTTTCAACACTAGCTACTTTTCACTAAAATGCTCATCATGAGAAGCAAAAGTTAGAGGAACATGTTAAAGCAATTGCCAGAGACCCACTAGAAAAAATGCAGAACACCTCACTCTGGACTCCAACTGGCCTGTTTTTATAGGGACAAATATGAACGTCTGCAGGACAACACGTGGCACTTGCCAGTCATTTCTTACCCACACACTTTTGTTTGTGCTGGCCAAGGTGTGAATTGCTGATTTCCCACGATTCAGAAAGCAGTGGGGCAGGCAACCCCTTTCTTCCTTGGGAAACAGAAGAGAAAAGGGGCACTGGGACAGGGTCACAACCCATGGAAAACCCTTGAGCTCTCCAGCAGTTTTCTATTTCTATTTTCTATTTCTAATTTTCTATTTCTATTCCATGAATTTATCAGCTTCACTTTTTTTTCTCCTCTTAGTAGCTCCCCATGAATTTCTCAGCTTCACTTTTTTTTCTCCTCTTAGTATGCCCCATTTCACCAGTGCACAGACTGAGGGCTAGATGAGTTTGCAAGTCAACACACATGGTGTCCTGGTAAAATAACTTGTAGTGCCTCACCCTGAACACACAAATTCTCCTCAAAATGGCACTACATCACACTGAAGAACGGCTTTGCAACATGGCTGGCTCCAAATGGAGTTAAAACAAACTTGGTTCTGTGGCAGTGACTGATATTGGGTCCCATTCCCAGCTACCCAGATGCAAACAAGAAGAGCAGAAATAATAACTGCATGCTGTCTTATTCTACCAGGAATGAGCTTTACCCCGAGCACCTATTATTATTTTCCTTTCATTAGGAATAAATAAATTAGAAGGCAGTGAGGAATACGTCTTTAGGAAATGTTCACAGACTAGGTCTGGTAATTACTCTTCCCACATGAGGGATATTGATAGGCTTCTGCTGTACAGTATCCTCTCTCAGCAGTCCCACAAGGTCAGAACTGCAGTGAAATAAGACAACTTCTTCATGAAAGGCCTAATCTCTCTTATCTCCATGCCCTCACAATTTGTTGACTGCTCTCTCTGACCGCCTCTCGCTCTCCTCTGTCTGATTCTTCTCTGTTGCTGAGTCATAATTTTTCTAGGGGAGATTTGCTGCAATGAACCATGTGATGGGACATACTGTTGACATAGGGTAGCCTGGAGATCCAGAGAGTAACCATCTGGATTCAGGAGGGCTGTTAGTCCCCACAGGAGATATGCTGATATGCCATGGCCATGTAGTAACTGAACACACAGTCAGGTGAAAGTTGACATGCCACCATGGCCATCTGAATCAGTAATTTCCAAAAGCTGGTCACCAAAGTTGCTGGTTGCCCAAGGTCATGCCTTCAAATGTCATGTCAGCACACACCAATGAATCATTAGCAGATGGAATTAGGCCCTTTGGGCACCAGCTCCTGGACTTTAAAGCCACTTTCATTTGGCATAACCTAAGACTGGCTTTCTCTGCTGCTAAATGGCATAGCTCTCCCACGGGCAGAGAAGGAAGCCCTCTTGCATCTTCTTCACCAGGCAGCAGTCATTGGACACATCACTAATGTGTGGGGAACTCCAGCCAACAGGATGTAGGCTGGATGCTGCTGGGATGAGACAGGAGCTTGCCCAGATGGAAACCACCCTGGAAGGAGAGCACCTGCCACAGGCAGTTGTTACCCCAACGCTCCTTTTCCTTCTAAGCATGTACCCCAAACCTAACTACCCCAAACCATTTCTGTCCCCTTTCTTGCACCTCAAAACATACACTTTGTTTCAAGCTATTGCACAGCCAAGGAGGAACTGGCTACCTGGCCTGTCTTATGATGAAGTTTGGGAACTAGCTTTTGTGGACCTGCTCCAAATGTTTGGCTGCAACTGGGCACCCCTGTTAAGTCTCCTGTTTGGGACAGTACATCAGGCATGGGATGTGCTCAGCCACCAGCCTAGATTCTCCTCTGGGCTTTTACCCTGAGCTCACTCTGAAATAAACACACCTGGAGGAGATTTGACTCATGCAAACTTTTGAAAATTTAACCTGTTGACTCCTTCCTGATTGTAAAGTTGGTCTGGGGAAAGAGCATCTTATATTTCAAACATAAAATCCTCCTCTCCTCCTCAGTAGAGGACACATTAAAAATAAGGTCGTTCAGAATTGGATCTTGGCAGTTCAAGAGCACCTACTGTTTTCTTGTGACTCTGGCAATTGCTTTCCAAGGAAACCTTTGCAATACAAGAGAATACAAACTAATTTACCATTTCTGAATTGCATAAGATTAGCTGTTTTACTGAAACAAACCAGTGTTTATTAACAGAGCTCAACTGCTATGCACTGTATCAAGACTGGTAAATATGAGGTATGATCCCAATGATTACCTGAATGTATGCGGGTGCTTAGCACAAGTGCTGAGTGACTGGTGGAAAACTTGATTTGCTAAGCAAATGGCTTGAAAAAATTAAACAACTGGGTGATTTAGTAAGCAATCTATCATTTTAATTACCTTTTATTACATTTCCAGTAATTTATTTAATGCCTTACTTTTTTGCTTTTCAACACTTCCAGAAAAGTAGTTATATTGGTTAAGTTTTTGGGTATTACTAATAATTAGCCAGAACGTACAATCTGCCTCTTGGCTATATGACCACATGGAGTCTGTAATTCCAACCAAATCAGGTTGCAGGGTTGGGACCTTCACTTATAGGGAATCAGTGACATTCAGTGGCGGTGCCTAAGGGTCTTTTTTGAAGACTTCAATATGCATTAGGAAATCTGTACTGCCAAAATTAAGGGCTCAACAAAATTTTTGGGACTATTTCTTAGCCCTTCATACAGGCATGCAGAAATGCAAGTAAAAATTGTGACCTTGTAAAGAGGATGCATTTTGCAGATTTGACTACAGCTATGGAGTAATTTTACTCTTAAAAGATCATCAAGAAACTGCCCCCTCCCTGCCGAAATAAACTTCTTGTCACTAAACCAAATAATCCTGACTTTCACAGGCTACCCAAAGCCAGGTTTGGTTTTATGTCCCAGAATACATCCCAAATAACAACCTTCTTCCCTTTTCTTGTAAAGGTTGCCAGTTTTCTTTCATAGCTTTGTACTCAAGATGTGGTTGTAAATTTGAATTCCAAGCCATTTGCTCCAACCGTCTTTTTAACATTAACAAAAGAGTAGCAAGGAGAGAAACAAAATAAAAGAAACAAACAGAACAAGCAATGCAAAGTAAAAGGACTCTAATGGAAGCAGTAACTTACTGTAGCTACTTTCACTATTGCTGGCATTAGAAGAAACATGTTCTGCAAGAACAGTACAGCAAATTAAAGAACATAACCAAGCACCACAGAGCCGCAGAAACTTAAAAGAACTGACACAGTCATGCGAAGGTAGTTGTGCAGTGAGGAAATAAAAACTATGCAGTGACATCACCTGAAAAATCTTAGATAATTTACACAGGTAAAATGAAAGCTTTCTCTCTTGTGGTGTTTCAGAAAGAGACTATACGTATTAGCTAGGGATACGTGTCATGGCAAAGCCATGTCTTTTCTTGATGAGACAGTTAATGACAAAGTTCAAAGTACAGTATAATCCACTTGCATCTTGCTGAATGTCTTGACTAATTTAACGAACCAGAGTGTCTGCTCATATTATTCTGCACTAGCGTGCATCATTAATAAATTAGAACTATTCCTGCTAAACTTCTGACCTGTGTCCATCTTTAATCACTGTGCACTATCCCAAAGGGTTAACAAATTAACATGAAAATGGTTTTGATATCAAATATTGTAACCACATCTACTTTAATCTGTCCAAAAAAAGAAGACAAAGCTGGTGGCAAAACTAAGAAAAAAATGGAAGAAATCTTTTTTCAGACATTATCTAGCCTCAGGATTTGAGCTAGACTATGAAAACCTTTACCAGACCACCGGACGGGTGAATAGGGATACAAGATCTATCATGATGGCTCACACTTGTGGTTTGACAAGTCTGGTGTCCTGTTTCTACTATCATATTATTTAAGGGAAAGTGCAATCTATATCATATGAAGTGGCTGTTCCTAAACTGTAGTCAGCAGACTGTTTATGGTCAGTCAGACCATGCTATATGGTCTCCAGGAGGTCTGCAGAACCATATTAAATGGTGGTTTTAATAGTATCTCTGGTAGAAATGCTGATTACTTTCCACCTGAAATACTATTTGGCAGTTGAAACTTTTCAGCTGGTCCAGGAGATTTAGAAGCCAATGGTATAATGGTATAATGGTATAATGGCTATTACCCCACTATATGTGGGGAGCCACCCTGGGTTAATGAGAATGAGACACAGTGGTTAAATGAACAATGGGTACAAATAAGTCACCTCCTGACAAACATCAGGAGCCAAAATTGGTCTGATATTTGTCATTAAACCAGTGCGTGGATTAGGCTGTGGATGACCCGCAACACCCACCTGCAACTGCCTCTAAACATTCTCAGTGAAAGAAGGAACTCATAAAAGCCAAGAATCCCCTGGGATGAACCCAGAGTAGACCATGCATGGATGTCATGAAGGATGACTATGGGAACAGTGCCAAGACCACCCCTTCTCCGCAAGGTGCTGCGTTTCCCTCATGTACCAATCTAATGGCTTGGGGTTCATAGAGTGGGGCTGATGGGGTTACTGGAGCAGCAGAAATGAGAGGGGATAATATCTGATAAAAATAATAATTTTAAATTTAATAATAACTTTGATCTTGGGCTTAGTAAGAAGCTTTAAAAAATTAAACTTATATTTTGAAGAAAACAGTATGTTGACTTTCGGACATTTCATAGCAAGTTAAGAAGGGTTGTCTCAAACTAATATACTATACAGGACCCTGAAGAACTTTATTAAACAAGAACAAATATCCTTCATAGTGTGAACTGTCATCAAAAAGCATAGGTGAGTTGAATATTAGTGAAATTTGGATGGGCAGGAATGTCTAGAGGGGTGTCAGTAATTGAAAGCTAGGTGCGATATTAATAGAGACACTAGAGCCTATATAATACCTCTGTGCTACTTTTCCCTTAGCAATTTGCAGAATTCTGTTATCTCCTTTCAAATGGTTGGATGTTGTGGAGATTTGTCTTTGTAAGGACACAGATATTCGGGAGGGTTATCAGATCAAAAGTATTCTACTCCTCTTTAGGCAGGGAAGGATCTGCATTTGTTGCTAATGAGCTGCCACGACACTTTACGTAAAGTAGCCGAACGGTTAAAATTCAGGTGGCAGTGACATTTGCTGTCTATCACTGACAAAACTAGTCCTGCAGACCTGTTCGTCATACAAGAGATGAAGCTTTCATCTTTAAATTGTGAGCTACTGTATGGCTTAAAGTTAAACCATTAAAATGTCCCTTCAACAAATCAGTCAGAAACAGAATAATCTCTAAAATTGTGTGCATGGATGTGCATTCCTGCAATTAAAAAGCATATACAAAACAGTAGGCGATGCAGTGTTAACATTCACACACATTTTGCTCCAATAACTTGGTGCTTAAGAAAAAGAGTAAGAACTGAAGAAGAAGCAGCCAAACACATGCAAGTGGCATTTTGTTTAAATTATTTAGCTCTGGATACAGAATATAATGTAGCTATTTATATAGAAATCAGCTGCAAATATTTCACTCTATACAATTTTTCTGGTCTAACTTTCGAGGAAGCAAAATTGTTTCTGAACAATTATTTGACACGTTACACATTCTGCAATGCCAAGTCTTGAGACAGGATTGCTGCATCAGAAAAAGAAATTGATTAAGGTTGCATGACAGAGAATAGGTTGCTAATGGTGAAATGGGTCCAAAATTAGCCTTGGAGAAGGCACGGTCTTCTCTAGCCTGCAAATGACTTCTTCCATTAATAACAAATACTAATCTAAAATCCAGCAAAGTAACACACACTCCCATGCAAAAAGCTGAAAATGCAGAAGCAACAGCATAAAATAATTTTCTATTGTTCTCCTCAGGATGTGATCAAGTTAAAATATTTAACTTTCCCTTTAGATGGAGAGGGAGGGATTGTTGCTGAAAAGAACAGTCTAGGCAGCAAAACGAGTTCTAGGTACGCTACTCTACAGAACTGCCATGATGGGAACAATAACATACTGTCAGAAACAAAAGGTGTTATTACGAAAGAAGTGAAAAGTGTCTGCTTGATACACTGTATGTTATTTAATATCGTCATGCAGAACAAAACGATTGAAACATTTTTAATGCATTCACAGCTGGGTAACAAATAAAACTCTATCTTGTGCATGCTAGGAGTGGAGGGTCCTCAGAGAAGGAACAGAAGCCAAAACAAAACAAAACAAAAAAAGATTTACAGTGACCATTCCTGGGAACTTACTCAGAGTCTTTGTTCCATAACCGTCGTCACCTAATCCGGGGATGTCCTGCACGGAAGTCCCCAGAGAGAGCAATGAGAAAGGAAGAACAGCCGCAGAAGAGGAAGGAAGAAGTCAGTGGAGTTGAAATGGATACTACCATGACTGACCATGTTGATTGAGCAATCTGGATCCCTGCTTTTTCTTTCTGAAACAACTTTAAACCCATATTCTATAGGAATGCAGCCAATGAAAGAGGCAGTGACCATGATACATGGCTTTTGGAGCTGTGAGGAAGAAGGAACAACCAGATAAATGAAGTCCCAGAAACGATCCTCACTGGATAAATTTAGGAGAGAATTATTAAGAAAAAAGTGAATATTTGGGCTTGGAACGAGCATATATTTTTAATAATGCTGGTTCTCTGTACAATTTAAGCAAGCAGTAAATGCCTGCGGAGGTACACATTCCAAGATCTGATTTACTTCTTTAACCTGTTAGCACGGTTACTTCATTTAATTGTTAAACTTTCAGTGAAGCTGCCCATGGCAATCAACTTGGAGAATGACAAAGGCAAAAAAGAGATCAGAGCAGATCTTTTAAAAAATAATAATTTAGTTTAGTATTGTGAAAGAAATCACGTTTGCATTATTTTGAGCCAGTTCTGATCTGGGAATATCTAATCAGAGACAAGTTTGGATTTATGACAGGTGCCACAACAACTTTGAGGAGCCACATTTGCTCTTCCAAAAGTTAAGTTCACTGTTTTATTCTTCTGAAAATGATGTTTCCAGGGAAGGAAGGACCAGCTGGATCCAAACTGCAGTCACACATTGGTCACAGTAGTAATACCTCTCCTGCCTGCCTACGACAGATATTTGCCTAGATGTGTGGGATACTGGTATCATGCGTGTCACCCATTTTTTGTGCTGCTGCATGTGACATCGTCTCCAAGAGGTTACTTACGTTCTGGATCACTTGTTTCCTGCTCACTCTGCTCCTTGCTCTTGTAGAATGGGAATTTTCGTGAAAAGATGAAGTTCTTTTTACGCTTGTCATTGAATGACTGTGAAGGAGAAAAGGCATGGGGCAAAAACAGGGACGTCTAATTGTTGTCACACTCATGCTGACAAAACAACTAGTTTGTAAAAGTGGAGAGAACTGTAGTGACTCAAATCAGTCCAAACCAAGCGGCTGCAAAGAATCAGAGGTGGTTGCGGTGAGATCTGCAGGTTGAAGGCAAAGCCCCTGGAGACTGGGTCGATTTGATTACAGAGGTCTCAAATCACAACCTCCAGCTCCTTACTTGGAAACTATTGTGTTTGGCTCGTTCAGGTAAAGAGCTACAGATGGTTCAGCATGCTTTGAGATCAAGCCGCTCATCTTTAATCATAGCAGACTGTGCACAGAATTAATTAACTGGCTGAAAAAGAATAGGCTGTAGAGAGGGAAGCGGAAGCCTTTGATGTACTTGTAGTAGGTATGTGAATTCAGCTCTGTGCCAATTAAAATCAAGTATTTTTTTCTGGTAACTGTTGCTGATTTCATAGTATTTTATTTGGCCTCTTAATCAACAACTTCTTAAGTGTGTTTTAATGCTTTTTTCCCCATAATTTAAGAATAAATACTTTGTTTTATTTTATATGTGTATATTTACTCATTATGTTCCTTTGGAGATGCTTTTCTTTTTATGTGATTTAGAGATGGAATTCTGCTGATAAGCAGTATTTCATTGCATGTTGAGCAACATATATTGCTTTAATTCTTTAAATGGGGAATTAATATGGAAGAAAATGGTTTTTTTACATGAGAACACCACTGACTTTATAGACAGTCGCAAGGGCTTATGCCACTGTACTATGTAAAAGCAGGATATGCCTGCTTGGGACATCTATTTCAGATAGTAAATGAGGAATTAGGGTCCCTATACAGTCAATTGAGAGAAGCTGGTATTTCCAGAGGGGATCTACGCAGAGCAGCAGATAGTGCTTATCTGAAGTGGTCCGTGTTGTCCATCAGACAATGTCCTAGACTGTTTCCTATACTGAACATATGCAATGCCCAGACACACGACTTTGCAAGTGATCACCTCCAAGAGAGCAGAAACCTTCTTGACTCATTTAAAGGACCAATTTCATGTGTTTGTCATTGCTCAAATGAAATATAACCAGTATTGGGCTCCAATTCTGAAGTGGAATAGATTTAGAGTTTCAGAACATAACTAATTTTCTTACATTTTGGAAGCACAGCATAAAATGTGGTTTAGAATATGTATTTCTGAAAGATGTGAAGTTAGGTACTGAAAATCTCTATCAGAATAGTTGTCTACTTGTGTCACAAAAGTTTCATGCCACTTTTACATTTCAAGCATATTTAAAGTTCAGTAACTGAAAACAAAGGAAAAAAATGCACATGTAGAATAATGATACATGAAAATCTCTCAGAGTATGTAAACAGTCAATGTGAAATTAATGTGGAGATCATGCACAAATAATCCAGACAGCATGCAATTTCAAAATAAAGCAAATATGAAAGAAAGCCAAAGGAAAAAAAAAATGCACATGAAGGATTAAGGTAATCTGTGGATGAAAAGAGGACTGACATGCACATTACATCACTTTAATGACCTAAAGGATATAATTAAATTAAAATGTGTTTTCTGTGATCATTTCTTTTATTTTTCCAAAGAAAGGAATGTAGCACGTTAACATTTCCCATTGTGAAAATGTTGTTTGCCACGATTCATCTGAATTTGACATAGTAATACTATAGGCATTTCACTTAAAAAGGGGAAAAATATATGTATCTACACAATAGCACCTCAAAAACAAAGGGGTTTTAAAATGACAATTACTTCATTACCAAATGCCATTTCACTTTGGAATTAAAGAGAATGTTATCAAATTGATAAATAAACATGCTGTGTTTCACAGAGATTATACGATAAATAACATTTATGAGTATTCTTTTTCAATTTTTTACCCAACAGTCTATAGCAAAAACTTCAGAAAGTCCATTTTAACCAGAAAAGCATATATTTTTTTCAAGCTTATGCATGATCTAACAGTATATTCCAAATTAGACAGGTATACTATAGTGTTATATAAACTTTTTCTCCTTTTGCAATTTCAAGTATTGGATTGCCTTTTTAATAAGATATTGTTCCACCTCAATTTGCACAATCAAAATCTGGCAACTCATTGCAGGTGACTATTATGTCCAACTGTGTCACTGCATTTACACCAGTAAAAAGCCTTTTTCCTAAAATAAAGCTGACTCAGTTTATTAATATCCATAAGCAAATATGTTTATGCATATGTTAATATTTCTATAGATTAATCAATGTGTATGTTCATGTTAATGACCATATATACTATCACAATGTAGTCATAGGGATTATATTTAAAATAACAAAAAAACTTGTAAAATAGTATAAAAGACTAAACTGGGTCTGATCCTGCAAACTTATAGAAATAATTAGTCCTTGGTATTAACTGAATGGGCTTACCAAGTATGTATTTTTTTGCACATTAAGTGCATGTTGCTTCACAAGAAACCAAAGATGAGCCTTGATTTTGATTTTGTATCTAATATAAATGCGATTAAAATCAGGCTGATGGTCTCCACCTTAAGGATATGAAATCCTGCAGACACCCAGCAAAATGCTTCATATAGATACCACAATATATATCTCTAATGTATAGAGATAGGGGGGTTGGCAAAGAGAGGAGAGGGAGACTCATACAGAATAAAACCATGTTTTTATTAGACACACTGTGTTAATTCCAGATTTTGTTCTGTTGGTGTAGGAGTAGAGACCAACACTGAATACATGTTTTCTTTTTTAAGAAAGGATCATGCATGTGAGGAATGGTGGTAGGGTTAAACTACAAAATTCAGATGTGCGTTTTTGGGAGATTTTATTTCTGTAAAATGGAAACTTTGAGACCTGTCAAAAATTCTGGAGCCAGTTTTCACAGGGTCTCCCTATGCTGCTGGAGAGGTGTGAAATAGCCGTAGGATAAATGAGAGAGAGGTATTTGCCTGCATCTCTCAGCCCGATGTAGAAGTTGCATGCAACTGGAATTGAAATTGTGGTATCAAGCTTAGGCTTGATTAAATAGTATTTATGCAGACAGAGTTTCTGAAAGTCAATGGAAAAGTGCCTGAAAATGGATTCCTGTATAAGTAGCAATTTCTTTGCCATGAATATTGTAAAATCCTGTAATGGCAAATAACTCGGGCATTTCAGTCGCAGTGAAAAATCTGTACAACGGGTTACTTTTACACCTCTCTGCCGTCAGTTCACACAGACTACCACTAACCTAGGAACTGGCATTAGTAGGCACTTTATATAGCAAGTGCCTAAGACTAAAAAGCAAATGAAATTTTCAAGTACTGTTTGACAACTGAACAGTGAGGTCATTCTTCACAACGTTTGAGCTGTGATGAAAAAAAGAGTCTTTTCTCAGAAAAAAAGGGGAGGAAGGCTTTCACCGATGTCCTGGCTTGAATTCTTGTTTGATACTACTTAGGCATAGACTGTGTTTTGAAGAAGCCAGGAAAAAATTGTGATGTGCGCTCTTGGTTGACCAAATGACCCCACATGTCCCCAGTTATGTAAGTCTGGCTTACGCATACCAACCTTCCCTGGTTGTGACAGACATTAAGACACTGTGTGTTCCTTCTTCTTAAGAACTCCCTTCGGTATTTTTTTGTGTCAACATCATTTTTGTATTCTAAATGCTTTTCCCTAGGTGCAGCAGCC